ACCACATTAATGTTGCAAGCACCGCTTATGCAGATGCGTACCGACGCTCACGTGGTCCTTAAACGAGGAGGATGTGTGTGCATGTCTTTGGCAACCAACGGTGGTGAAGTGCCTTTAACACCCCCATGCCGTGCACACCTCGTGCAGGTCCCAGCTCACTGTGTGCAGCGCTCCCCTTGGTGCTCCCCAATGAAAGCCAGATCTCATCTCTGAGCCGAGACACCCGACAGGGGATGCATGACAACAAGTCTCATTGGGTAAGCAGGGCTATGAGACTGACCCCATCGTCGTGTTAATGTAAAGACACAGTTTTGTCTTTGACGGGACAAAATCAATCTATAGAGAAGCTAAATCTTCGGCCGCTTTTAGACTGTGTGAAGCAGAAGTAGCCCCCCCACCCATCCATGGCTATTGTTCAGAGCTTTTATCAGGTCAGGCGTGTGTGCGTGTGCGTGCGTGTGTGTGTGTGTGTGTGTCTCATTCTGATTCTGCTGATTTCTGCCAGTGTCAGTCCGTCAGATCTGCACTAGTCCCTCCCCCTTACTGTTTACAGTCACACATAAGTAGAAAGGGGACTTGGTTACCTGCCCCCTCCCGTCTGACGACGGTGTTCCAGCCTCTCCTCCCCATCGCAGCTCATGGAATAAATTCAATGTAATCATGACAAATGAGTCCCGTCGGTTAGCAAGGATTTAGTTTATTACATGTTTCATGGTTGGGATGTTGTTCTTTGAGGTTGTACGCACCAGCAGTTGTTGTCCTGTAGCCCATCCCAGCCTTGTGCAGGTCTACAAGGTTATCCCTGATGTCCTTACACCGCTCTCTGGTCTTGGCCATTGTGGAGAGGTTTGAGTCCGTTTGAGTGTGTGGACAGGTATCTTTTATACAGGTAGCAATTGAGCAGTGTATCAAATTCTTGTTCTCCCCACTGTATGTGTGTTGGGGAGGGGGCTGCTGGGTAATCACAAATAAATCAATGAGCTGTTATTGCATCAGCAAACACAGAGGAGGGAGAGATGGAAGGATGGATGGATGGATGGATGATTGATTGATGGATAGGAAGAGGGGAGGAGGTGTGTGTCTGTTGTGCAGAGATAGATGGCTGATTGAATACAAGGGGCCACGTGTGTGTGTGTGTGTGTGTGTGTGTGTGTGTGTGTGTGTGTGTGTGTGTGTGTGTGTGTGTGTGTGTGTGTGTGTGTGTGTGTGTGTGTGTGTGTGAATGAGGCCAGAGGGGGGGCTCAAACCGTGAAGCTGTCAGGACAGATGGGAGCTGGAAAGGCTGCTGGAGGAGGATGAATCTTGCAGTGGGCTGCTCCTGGAGAAAGGTGCACTGAGATTTGAGGGGGCAAAAGCTCTGGCCTGTTTGAACCCCCCTTCATTCAGAAAACATGCTTTATAAAAGTGATTTCCCCCCTGCATTGCCGACAGGCCTCACAAAGCAAACATTCCCTTTTTTTCCAGATGGGCATTGTCATGCAGATCTTTTGGCTTTCGTTTCATTTTTGTTTTTGCGAAATCACAGCAGACAAATAAGCTTGTTGTGGTCTTCATGTTGCTGCAGTAAACCGGCCCAGATATGGTCAATATAGCGTGGTGAAATTCCCCCAGCAACTCTTTCATGTTTCGAGGGCCTTCTACAGCACTTACAGTAGTTATTTGAGCCGAGGCCGATCAAACTTTGCAGGCATTTACACAGAGGTGCGCCAGTCAAATAACTACATCTGACCTGGAAAGAATGCAGCTTCCTTTCCTTTCCTCTGCTGCAGCCCGGCGCCTGATTCAGACCAACAAATATCACAGGAAGGCGTTTGGAACAACAAATGAGGGAGCAAGTACTAAAGACTTGCGATGATGGATTCCCTCGAATTCGCCACCCATCTAAAAACGCCATAGCAAACCATATGTGATGGTCCCGTGTGGGTGGTGCTAAGAAGAGGGGCTTGTGGGAAAGTCTGTGCGGCATTGGGGAAGCATGCTGCAGCTCTGTGGGTGAAGTCAATGAATGGAATCCAAAAATCTCGTCCTCATCTTTAAAATCCAGTGTGGGGTTGGGCGGGGTTTGACTGCCCGTCCGTCTGTGGCGAGGCTTTGGTTCAATCACACTGTGGTTTACGGGTGTGTGGGTTTGTGTGGGTTCATAAGCACACTTTGGCTCGCTGCCTGGCTGCGTCTCCCCAGCTGATTACGAGTTAATGGCCTTTGAGCGTGGGGAGCGCTTTGCCTCCTGATTGGATTGTGTGGGCGGAGTTACCACCGAGTGGCAGATGGCTTAGGGAGGAGGGAGATTGTGTGTACATATACATCGCTGCGCTGGGGGAGGTCCCTTTATTTACAATAGAGAGATGTACAATTGGTGGTCTCTCCAGTCGTCTTAGTCGCCTTCTTTTTATTGTCTCCTTACACTTTTTTCCTCTCACAGAAATGGAAACAAATGCTGAACGAATGACTTCTTCCTCGTGACAGCGTGTCTACGTTGGTTTTCAGGGTGAGAACGCTTCCCTTCATAAGAACAGACGAAGAGAAAGGACCCACAAAAAGCCCCCCCCCCAACCAAGGATTAGAGCTGATCATCTTAGTTGGCAACACTCCCAGTTCACACTCATTGCACTCCTAATTCAGCTTTGTTAGAAATTCATCGCTTTTTCCAAATCAGACCAATAGCTTGATATAGACGGGGACAAAGTGTGTGTGCGACAAAAAAAGTGATTTTACAGATATTCACTGGGAACACTCACTGTTTGTGTTGTTTGTTATTTTGTTGTGGTGGCATTAAGAACAAAGCAGAGAGGCTCCGAAAAGAAAAGGTTTCTTTCTGTGTGCCTACAAACCGCATCGTTTTATCAAGTGTCATTGCATCCCCATCTGCTGAGGAGATTGCTCGGCTCTCAAACGTAGGGTTGGGTACCAAGAACTGGTGCCATATTGGTCCCGTTTTCGATACGGCTAGTTAGTTAATATATTGTTCATTTTGAAGACATTTTCCTTGGCAATAAAAATAACTTTCTTCTTTGTAGTCAATTGTTTGTTTTGTGGAGAGTCATACACAGTGACACCTGCCATCAGTAACTACCATTCACACACTGTAGTCGCAGCTACAGGAGCAATGTTGGGTTAAGTGTCTTGCCCAAGGACACAACGACATGCGGGTTAGCCGGGCCTGGGATCGAACCGACAACCCTCTGATTGTAGGACGACCGTGCTCCCCACTCACCCACAGTCGCCCCAAGGCACTTGTTGTGGACAGGTGGAGTACTTGCATGTTAGTGGATGTGGGGAATATAGTGAGATGTATTCTGAACAGAGGGGTTCAGACCTTGGACTCCAATCAGCCGTTGAATTAGTTCTTTCCAACCTTTTTTCGTGCATGTTGGGTTTCTCCCTTAATCCACCCGCTTTTTATCTTCCATTGTCCCAGGGAGGGCAGTACGTGCAACATTTGGTCTGGAAAAGTCAAGTGTGGGATTTTGCCAGGGAGATGGCTTAACACCCTCTTATTAAGCTGCTTCTACCATGCTGGCCCGTACCCCAGAATTGAATTGTTCTTGTGTGTGTTTGTATTGGTGTATGTTAGTTTTAACTATAGACATGTACTTCTTTTTTTTTAATCCATGCTCAGAATAGCCAATATCATTCCCCTCCGGTTAGCCCTCTCTCACTCTCTCTGCCTACCCTGCAGTAGCAGTGGGGTTGCTATGGTTTAGTGGGATACAGTACTCCAGTGTGTGTGTGTGTGTGTGTGTGTGTGTGTGTGTGTGTGTACACACACATGCAGGTCTTACCCTATAAATAATTGACCTGTCACGGTGAGCCGACAGAGCAGATGCACTCTCCCCTCTTCTGTTCTCCTCTTACATTTCTGCTATCTCGTCCCCTTTGTTCTCCGTAGCCTTTACCTGCCTTTTTCTTTTGTTGCACCTTTTGACTTGTTTTAGTTCTTGTTTTTTCGTCACATTATATTTTTTAGTCTCTGGTCTATACAGAATACCTGCTGTCGTTTATTTAGTAAAGGTTTAGGTGATTTTAATCTAGGTCCGCATTAACACAAACAAAAAGTCATATATTTGTTGATATGATAAAGCTGAGGATTTTTGGTACTAGGCTTCAAGGAGGGTGCACAAACAGGAGTATTGCTCCTTCAATTTATTTTACATTGACCTAGAGAAAATGATTAGGTACCCAACATTTGATTTCAGTCACACAGCTTCTGGTTATTTGGTGTAATCCATGGATTCAATATTGTCCTGTGGCCCTAGGATAGAGCTTTGAGGTACTCCACAGTTAAGTATTTTTACCTAATCTTACACACCCTTTTAAAAAAGGCTGAATTGGCTCTTCTGACTGAAAAAACAAAACAAAAAACAGCAGCTAACATGCTCATGCGTCGGAGGAAACAACGAGCGTGTAGTCAATGTCCATCAAGCCGTACGGCTGCGCGTAATGCCCGGCTAGAGCCAATGATGCCTGACGTATCACTAAAAGTACAAGAGATGGTTGACCCACAGACACTGAACAATAGCCTAACAGCTGCCAGCGGTCAGTGTGTGCATGTGTGAGAGAGTGAGTGATTGGGCAGAAATGATCACACCCTAGCAACCCCCTGGTTCACTGCGCACATCCAAATGCATAGAGACGTGAGGAGAGGATCAGATGGCCCGCTGTCGCATTAAGATGCGTGTGTTTTGTAATAAAGATTCTCTCCGTAAATTTGGGGATGTTCAGATGCTGGCAGATGCTCCTTCTCTGATGCTTTTCTCCTTGGCAATCTGCACAAACGATTCTGGGTAAAAGCTAACAGAAAGAAATAATGATTTTGAACAACTTTAGAGAAACCTTGGAAATAGGTATCAAGTAAGCGTGTGGATCGTGGTGACTGGATGTACGTTTTTAAGATCACAGTAAACCTCTGTTCACCTGGCAGCGCATTGTTATCATCAAGTCATTTCTTATTATTTTTTTAGTGAATGATAAATCTCACTTGGGCCTTCTCCTCTCCACAGGCTTTCACCTCAGCGGCACGGTCACTGAACCCGCCACGTCGTCAGAGCCGGAAGTCACCCACAAGGTCGCCATCAGCTTCGACCGATGCAAGATCACCTCAGTCACTTGCGGTTGCGGCAACAGGGACATCTTCTACTGCGCCCACGTGGTTGCGCTCTCGCTTTACCGCATTCGCAAGCCCGAGCAGGTATTAGCAGCATGGCCTCAAACCAATCCGATATGTCCGATGTGTGTGTATGAGAGGTCATGAGCACACGGCGGGGAGGGTCAGCAGTTGCACGTCTGAATAAACTCACAGACAAACCCATTTCTACTTGCTACAGGTGAAGCTGCGGTTGCCCATCTCGGAGACGTTGTTCCAGATGAACCGGGACCAGCTGCAGAAGCTGGTCCAGTACCTGATCACGGCCCATCACACAGAGGTGCTGCCCACAGCTCAGAAACTGGCCGACGAGATCCTATCCTCCAACTCTGAGATCAACCAGGTCCACGGTGAGAGGACAACCTGTGCGGGAAACATCTACCTAAACTTTGAAAATGTGCACAACTGTGTGATTTTCTTTTAAAAACAATCACATCTCATTTGTTCCCCAAATCCCATCTAGAATAGTTTTCTTTAATGTTACAAATGCACGGAGAAGCACTTGACTGCTGAAAAGTTTTGCCGCGGTTTGCCGAGTTTTGTCCATCTTGTCGTCACAGCGACGACTCAAAAGCATCCAGACGTGCTGATGCAGCAAAGGCAGGCTTCCATCGGTTGGTTTGAGTTCTTAGTTGCTCCTCTCCAGTGACTACCTCCTTCCACTGGCAGGAGGATGTTTAAACAAAGCAGGGACGGGGAAGTGGGCGAGGGGGAAGAAAGGGTGAACGACGAACTGAATGCAGGAGGAGCTCCAGAGAGACGTGTGGAAAAGGGAAGGGACGCTGAGAGGAGGAGATGTGAGCGAAGACCCTCGGGAGAGGAAAGATGAAAGGATTGGAGGGATGGAAAGGGGGAGGAAAACCACAACAGACGCGCGTAGTGGAAAACCACAAACAAGACGCATCCTTTCTCCAAACAAAAAGTCTGTTTCTGTTTCTCCGTTTCATGCGACCCGCCAAATGTTGACATTCCCCAGCACTCCTGTGCAGGAAGCCCGAGCACTGCGTTTCCCCTCTGTGTTTGACAAGGGGGATCATGGGGGTTGGAGTTCAGTGGATCCAGGAGCGACGGGCTCCTTTGATGAAGGAATGTTGCCAGTTGGAAACACAACTCTGGGCTCTCCTCAGTCCGCTTCCTGCTAGATCAAAGCATATCCGAGCACATCTACATTTCCCTGCTGCATTACTCAGACACGCACGCAACACTGCGTGCCCGAAAGAAAAATAAAGCTGGCCTTATATTCCCTCGGTGTGTGATTAGCGTGAGTCGGGCGGCTTTCTCGGGTGTCAAGTTGATTCACTTTAAGTTGAATCTAATCCAAATGCCTACTAGCATTCAAGAGATTTGGACTCATTCAGAATGATCGCTAACTACATGTACAGCTAATTTACTATTAACCAAGAACCACCCATTAGAGATTTACCAAATTCACATTTCAAATTTTAGGCTGATGTTGAGGATATCAAATGAAGTTTTGAATTAAGTTGTTGCCATATTTGATGACATTATCAGCCCCTTAAAACTAAATCCTCAATTTAAATGAAATGATGAAACCGATAGTGTGAACATCCTCATTTTGACTTTTGTAATGACAGTCATTCGATCATACGAGTCATAATCTTATGCAGCCATCAGTGGAATTAAGTTCTATGAACTGTATACTATTCGCTACTGAGGTACCGCAATACTATCTTCAATACACACTTTTTGTTCATATGCAGCAGCATTATCTGCTACTATACATAAGTACAGCCTTAACAGGATGAATTCAAATGATTGCGCAGCATTCAATTGTAGATTCAGAATTAAAATGTATAAGTGAGGCTTCACCTTGAACCACACATTAGCATGCGGGTAGGAAGGAAACCGTGTTTCTTTTCACAAATGGGGCTGTCTTAAAGTAAATTCCATTTCCCATGGTCACCGCGCAGTTTAACGTGTATATGTGTGCTTTCACAGGCGCTCCGGACCCGACTGCAGGCGCCAGTATCGACGATGACAACTGCTGGCATCTGGACGAGGACCAGGTCAGGGAGCAGGTGAAACAGTTTCTCTCCCAGGGAGGATACTACGGCTCTGGGAAGCAACTCAACTCCATGTTCGCTAAGGTAGATATCGCCACTTTGTTTAAAAAGGCTCTTTGTTGTGTTAACAACCACAACCCCACACTTTGAGTTCATAAGACACACTTTTTGTTCATATGAAAAAAAGGAAACTCCTACATCATTTAGTGTGAGTTTCTTTTCCCTTATTTTGATCCATTTGAACACGCCACTTAACTATAATGGCACAAAGAATCGAAGCACCTGCAGGTCCCTAGAGCATCTCGAGATTTCTTTGACTGTATTATGCAAACTGAATGCACTAACCAATCTGGAATATGGTTGAATGTAGCTCTACAAATCCCCCAAGTCATGTGGAGGATTCATAAAGGCACTTTTCACAAGTCTGACACGGAACTATAGACACAGCACATTTGGCCTGCTGATATTTCGGAGCGAACACTATTCAAACTCTCACAAAGCCCCACGATCAATAAGTCTTTATTTAGTGGCATTCACAAGGTTGTAAAACCTCTTGAATGCAGCCACATGTTAAACCTCAAGTGCAGTTTAGGATTATGCCTGTTGCCAAAAATCCTTCTTTGTCTCATTCATTCACTCTGATTTTAAATAAGACTTTCACGTGTGTCAAATAGACAGACTCGCGCTTCTACCATCTAGAAATATTCAAGTGACAGTGGTATCTTTCTCCCCATTCCACCTCCAGCATGAAAGCAAAATAACCATTTTTCCCCAAAGTGTCACACTACTGCTTGCAACAGTTGTTCTCTGTGTTTGACAAGGATGAGCGGAAGGCCCCTGCGGCGCCCATTAGCGTCTGTGTGTGTTTGTTTCCACTGGAGGCTTCTATGCAGTGACTAAACCTGCACTCTCCCCATCCTTCCAGGTCAGGGAGATGCTACGAATGCGAGACTCCAACGGCGCCCGCATGCTGACGCTCATAACGGAACAGTTTATGGCGGACCCCAGGCTGTCGCTATGGCGACAACAGGGCACAGGGATGACTGATAAGTGTCGGCAGCTCTGGGATGAGTTAGGTAGGAACGCTCAGGGAAATGTCACTTGTAACTTAATGCCCAAGGACCTTCTAGATCCTCTAGTGGTTGGCGTAATTCTCAACTGCCTCAGAACCAAAAGGGTATGTCAGGCATTTAGCCTGCGCCGGGCCTCAAAAAGGGACATAGGTCAAAATGTATTGGCTCATTTTGAGCCGTTTAATTTATACCAGCTGTGTCTAGAACATTTAAAGTTCCACAAAATGTGAGATGAATAAATCCTTGCAATTAATTTCTTTGCATCAATCTTTGCGCTACGGGAGCCTGGAGGTGCAGTGGGTGACACTTGATCCAACTCTGCCATAGCGGAGAGGGAGACACCGTGCAGAGATCTGCACATAACCAAGTGTTTATGAGGCTTCCTGTAGGTCGGACGGCCCCATAGGCATAAGTGCCCAGCCTGTCCCTTTGTTTCTCAGACAAATCGCCGGTGTCCATGTCGGATAGCCGTTCCTCCAGTGAGCTCTTTGCTCCCCCAGTCAGCAGCCTCTCCTAGGCTCTCGCTCCCTGCACCGAGCGAATGATAAAGGCTGCCGATCAATACGGCTGCTCGGCTTCTTTGCAATCAATCGCAGCATTTAGGAGGTCAATGGGAACACTTCCTGAGTGGTGGTGGGGGGGGGGATCATGGCACAGAGACACAGACAGGCGTCGGTGAGGGTGTGCTGTTGGATCATCTTAACTACAGCGTTTTTTTCCCTGCTCTGTTATTCTTTTGTGGTTTCTGATTCAGGCTTTCTTCAGTAATCAATTATCCTTCCTTAAAATATTAGAAATGAATGAAAAATGATCGCTTATCGGGCGCAAAGCACATGGCTTCTTCCATCAGCAGTACAAAACCCAAAGATATTCAATGTACTACCATTTATAACTGAGAAATCCTCATTTAACAACCATGTACCAGAGATTACGTCTGAAATATGACTAACCAAATATATGATCAAAATCAATTCTGATTCTACTACTACTAATCTACTAAATTCTCCAGATCCCTTTTTTATCTTATGTGAGGAGTGTTTAAAGCTGCGTGGCTCATCGCTTTGTTTGAAGACTGAAATGTGCCAGTAAGGAGTGACGTCATGGTCATGTTCCTCCTGTCTAAATGATCCCGTTTAAGTGTAAGAAAAGTAGAGCGTTCAACCGCTCCCTTTGTATCCTGACTCCTGACCGCCCTCCTTTACCCCAGGTGCATTGTGGGTGTGCGTGGTGCTCAACCCCCACTGTAAGAGCGAGGAGAAGAGCGGCTGGCTGAAGCAGCTGAAGAAGTGGGGCGACCTGGACGTCTGCCCGCTGGAGGACGGCAACTACGGCAGCGAGCTTCCAAACATCACCAACGCTCTGCCGCAGAGCAACCTGGCACAAGGTAAGCGCGCACACACACACACACACAGGATTAACCTGAACTTTGGTACTGTGACTCTCGGACAAATAAACATGCAACAGTAACGGCGCTAACCGGGTCTCCCCTGCCCCTCAGACTCTCCGACGAGGCCGAGGAGGTCGGTGTTCAGTCGTGCCGTCGAGGCGTGCGACCTCCACTGGCAGGACAGCCACCTCCAGAGGATCATCAGCAGCGACCACTACATGTCTCCGTCCTACCAGAGGGAGGGGGAGAGCCTGCTCTTCAACCCCCAGGGGCTGCCGCTGTGCCTCGGTGAGCCACGGCCTCTTTTCTATGCGACTCCTTATTTGGACTCCATGTCTCTGAATTCTCAAGCTGTAACTCGCGCCTCATTTCCAGGGATTGATAATTGTATTAACCTATTGCATCATAGTGAGGTAAATCATGTTTCAATCATGAGGGCCAGTATCTGCAGTAAGCAGCTTCCAGCTAAGATCTGTCAGATTTTGCAACTTAAGCCAGCTATCGGACGCACACTGGCGTTCTGCTGAGACTGTTGTGTGTGCGACCTAGCGTGCAGACGTCCGTTTGGGCACGGAAGCTGTCCTGACCGCCTTCTCTCACACGCAGACCACGTCCCCACGGCGTGCGCTCGTGTCGACGCCCTGCGTTCCCATGGCTACTCCAGGGAAGCCCTGCGATTGGCCGTGGCCATCATCAACACACTCCGCCTCCAGCAGCAGAGACAGATGGACATCTACAAACACCAAAAGAAAGGTAACACACACACACACACACACACATACACATATTTAGTGTTCTCGTTGTTGTGTGTTAAAAAGCAATATTTGTCTTTTCTCCTCGTGTCCCAGAGCTTCTACAGAGGGGCGTGACTTCCACCACTAACCTGGAAGGCTGGGTGGGTCATCCCTTAGACCCCATCGGCTGTCTGTTCAACACGCTGACCGAGACCTGCCGCATGGATGACGACAACTCAATGGACACCGGAGGTATGAAGATATGCTGCTGTGTCTCCATTTTTAAAGAGTTCTCGCTGGGAATCATCGTGAGGAACCATCACAGCTCTGACAAAAACCAGTGAGACTTGTATTGAGACTAATCCCTTTGTTAAAGGAAGCAACAAAAAGTATTATAGACACCTAAAAGAACACCAAGAAGCTGTACACCAGCCAACTGCTATTTCCCCCTTCTTCTTTACTGTACGTTTTTTTGATATATTTTTATTTGCTTTAGAAATGAAATACTAAAAAAGGAACACAAATTGAACAGAAAACTGACATTGTCAGCATATAGGGATGCCCCCCCCCCCAATTTTGTGCCAAGATAAAGCAGTTCAAATATTTAGAATATAGTGTACATCTCAACGCAAAAATAACCATGACCCCTTTTTAAAAGGAAAAAACGTAGAGCTGCTCAATTTTCATTTCTAAAGATTACATTAGTCGGTTCTTATGACTACTCTTTCATTGCATCATTCAGCCCCGCTTTGACCAGCAGACCCAACAAACTGCCTGGCTTTCAGTATTCAGCGCCTTGGGTTTACTCTCTTCTGTACAGGCTCATGTGCTGAGTCATTCAAATGTGAAGCTTAGCTTTCATTGAATTGTCATTTTGACACATGGTCAGCAAAGCTGAGAACAAGCTTCACCTCCCATGCTGCCATCAGGAGGCGCCATTAGTAACGAGAGCTGCAGTGATAAATACATTTTTATATATATATATATATATATATATATATATATATATATATATATATATAGCTTTAAAAATTAACTAATTAATCACACAGTCGTTCTAAAGACTACGGTAAATCTGGCCAGTAATGAGCTTTAGAAAGTGCGTATTTTAGACACAGTTTAATTGTTCGTGTTATCTTAAACTCAAAATGACACACATTTGATCAGCTTGAAGGCTGAATTCCACTTGCACTGCTGTGCTCTCAACTCTCCATCATTTCATTAAAATATTTTAGCGCATTGATCTCAGCCACATATATTGCAGAGATTGACGCTGTCATTTGACAGCCCTGGTATATATATGTACGTGTACATATAGACGCAGCTCTAAGGTCCGTTTCTGTTGACTAAATCAGAAAGAAATTCAGGGAAATCTACCACGCACGTCCTCTCCCAGCAGCAGTGACCCTTTAGACGGCAGACTGCACGTTCTTGTATCTGGGGGCGGCGGCGCTATTGTGCTGCTGACGTGGCCGTAAACTATCCAGGCCTGAAGGGATCGTGCTTGAACACCCTGCTCATTTAGACGTGTGTGTGTGTGTGTGTGCGTGTGCGTGTGCGCGTGCGCGTGCGCATACGCATACGCATAGAATCCATCACCATTCTGCATTTCACACCCTGCCAGGGCCCTTTTTCCACCAGTGGCCTTTGCAACAGAGCAGAATAGGGGCTGGGTTTTCCCATTGTTACCAGACCACAGGGAACTATTGTCCATCCAAACAATGCTGACCACTGGCACACTCATTGCTGTGGGTGGGTGATGGATGGGATGATTGTCTTATGTTGTTTTGGAGAATAAGAATAATATAAGAGTGGTATGACTGTTTAGTGTGTGTGTGTGTGTGTGTGTGTGTGTGTGTGTGTGTGTGTGTGTGTGTGTGTGTGTGTGTGTGCGTGCGTGTGCGCGCCCGTCTGGTCACTATGCTACATTTCCCTCTGGAAGACAGCTGGGAACATCTGTTTTTAAAAACAGGAGGAGGAGGGGGTCTTTTATCGACCAATGAAAATGCTGCTATCACTGCAATTACATTTCAAATCAACCAATGAGTCAACACCCCATGGACAAAAAAACAAACACAAATGAGCTAGCACCGGGGTTAAGCCTGTAAAAATCAGTTCCCTCTTTTCCTTAGATCTCTCCTCTCTCTCACTCACACACACACACACACATCCGTAGAATAAACAAGATTGAAGGGATCTATTGCATGGAAGGGATTTAAGCAGAATGAGGATGGGGGGGAGAACAAACAGACACCAATCAACAGCTGAGACTCTCGTGGCATCTGTTCTCACTTAAAGCTGTCGAGCATTGCCTGTCGGGTTAGCGGCCATTTCAGATGAGCAATCTCAGTCCATCATGGATGCCGCATTTCTATGATGTTACACCGGCTTTGTGGCTTCATAAAAGCAAGTCAACGTATCTCTGCCTGACTACCAGGACGTAAACTATGTCTTAACCTCATTGAACTGCATATTGCGTGGTAAAGATCCAAACGCCTCAGCCCGTTTTTATTGATTGATTGATAATGACATAAAATCATTTATGAAAACTGCTTTTTTCGGATTTGAAGGAATCTTTGCTCCAGTCACTAAATGGTACCCCTCCTTTTCCTTCCTTCCCACCACAGAAGGCGACCCCAGGCCTCCGGTCTACCACCACGTACCAGTGTGGGGCAGTCCTGACGGAGGAGAGTCCTACCTGACCTTGGCCTTAGAGGTGGCTCTGATGGGTATGGGCCAGCAGAGGATAATGCCCGAGGGCCTGTACGCTCAGGACAAGGTACGGTGGTCCAGAGAGAACACGCCGCCTGGTGGGGCATGCGTAGTAATTATCCAGACATTCAAAGATGATCCATATTTTACCCCCTAAAACCGTGAGGCCAACTTGACTTCAGCTATTCTTTGCTGCACATTAAAACAATGTTCATTTGCCTGGTTTAGACGATGTCATTGTGATAGAGAATCACTATAATTAAAAAGGAAAGTTCGCAGCATTTTGCATAATGGGAATTCATGTAATGTGCTTGGAAGTGCCTCAAACTGTTGTGGAAATTATCAACAATATGAATATTTTAAGGACTGCTAACATTTGTCTGCAAAATACCGCAATCCACAGGCACGAAGAAGAGACGCCGTATGAGAGCAGACACATAGAACTTAAAAGAATTGCATTTGAATGGCAAAATACCTCATCATTACTTATCAGAAATAAGAAATGCAAGAGCACCTTGGACACTGCTAATTAAAAGTTATCCGTTTATTCTTCACATGATTGACACATAAACTTTTATTCATGTTTTTCTTCCATTTTTCATGGACATGACAATGACAATGTGGGAATTGTGCCCTAGGTGTGTCGAAACGAGGAGCAGATTGTTGCAAAACTTCAGGAGCTGGAGCTCGGCGACCTCCTGGTCCAGACCCTCCGGAAGCAAGCCATCCAGCTACTGGAAGGTACAGTGACGACACGTCTGCGCTCGCCACCACGACCTTTCAGGAAGAACGATTCCAACGTGTCTCTCTCTCTCTCTCTCTCTCTCTCTCTCTCTCGGCCCAGCTGGTCCGTTCAGCGGCCTGGGTGAGGTCATCCACCGGGAGAGCGTTCCCATGCACACCTTTGCCAAGTACCTTTTCTCCGCCCTGCTGCCGCACGACGCCGACCTGGCCTACAAGCTGGCCCTCCGTGCAATGAGGTCAGTATGCAACACAGAAAGTGGCTTTAATAGCCGGCTCATGAGGTACAGGCGGCTCACACGCCGCTGCTACAAAAAAAGGGTTATAATGGTACAGTAGAAGAAAGGATGAGGATAGGGGTAGAGAACCGCTCCTTTGAGGTTCTACACGAATGTCTAATTGTAAAAGTAGATATTTTCCCGTATTTTAAATACCACATTTAAGTTCAGAAGGAATATCGGCATCAAGGTTTCATTTTGGAAAAGCGGCAGCAGACTTTGGTGACGATACAGCGTTGTCGTGCTTTCCCCGCCAGGCTGCCGGTGCTGGAGTCCTCCACAGGCTCCGGGGACGTGGGCCACCCTCACCACGGCATCTCCATAGTACCGAGCAGGTACCCGCGCTGGTTCACGCTGGGACACCTGGAGTCCCAGCAGTGCGAGCTGGCCTCCACCATGCTCACTGCTGCTAAAGGTATCGCACCGCTAACACGGCCACGCACAGAAATGTTCCCATATGGATGTTTGTGTGTGTTTTATCATTTGATTTGCTTGTAGGTGACATGTTGAGGTTGCGGACGGTGCTGGAGGCCATCCAGAAAAACATCCACTCCTCTTCCTTAATCTTCAAGCTGGCCCAGGACGCCTTTAAGATAGCCACACCCGCAGACAACCCGCCTGATATCACACTGCTCAACGTGGCCCTGGAGCTGGGACTGCAGGTAGTGTGTGTGTGTGTGTGTGTGTGTGTGTGTGTGTGTGTGTGTGTGTGTGTGTGTGTGTGTGTGTGTGTGTGTGTGTGTGTGTGTGTGTGTGTGTGTGTGTGTGTGTGTGTGTGAGAGATGGAGAGCAGACTAGGTATGAGGGTGAGTCAGCAGTTTTCATAAATCATTTAACCACTAAACAAGAACCTGAGCAGTGGTCACCTGTCAAAACATGCAACAGTTGCCTTGGACTTGTAATTTGCGGCAACCTCGCTACAAATTTACAGAGAAAACATCACACAGCGTCTCGCCGTTTCACGATTGAAAGCAAACCACGTAATTAAGCCTTTAGGGTTCGACAGTAAACACTGAGGAAGAAGAGAGAAACCAAAACTTTAGTCATCTCGCTGCGGCTCCATCACTGGTCTCAGAGCAGCGGCTCGATTCCTGTCAGCCAAATCCCTGATTAAGGGCTCCGTGTCAGCGGTGGAATTTAGAAACACAGGACATGTGCATCACTTTATTCAATATGCTGTAGATAGAAGCAAAACTTGACTGCCTACAAGGAGAACAAAAAAAGGTGTATTATGTGTTGTCATTGCCATTGTATAAGGCAGCGGGATCATGTGTGGATCATTTTTTGTGTGTGCTTTGCAGGTGATGAGGATGACTCTGTCCACACTGAACTGGAGAAGGAGAGAGATGGTCCGCTGGCTGGTAACCTGTGCCACTGAAGTCGGTATGTGGCGCGCACACACACCATGGTCCATGGATCTAATCATTGGCTTGTGTGGTGAAATCACACCATAAATGAGTCTTGTTGGCGTAGTTTATGTACGGTTTATGGCTGTCCAATCAAATCACACGTTTCAGTGAAGACTCCATTTATGTTTTGGAAAAACAATGTACGACAACGCAAAAGAATAACCAAATGAAATAGAAAGTTTAACACACAAAACTAGCTGTCAAATGCGCACGCGTGTTATTCCTACAGGCCAAGACCAATGCAAGAAATACGACATGAACACCTGGCTAGTATCAGATGTCGAACTGCTCCACAAGAAAGGCGTTACAGACACCAGAGACGGAGTCTACGGCTCTGGTGGCAGCGGCGACCTGTCAATCACAGTTGTCCCGCCCGGAAGTCCACTCCACTTTAGTACTATTTTTCTCTAAGTTGACCATAATTCACTAAATAAAATAAACATCAGGGCTGCATAGAAGAGGACTTAAATACCATAAACCCATGTTTGCAATGTTTACTGAGGGAATGAATCAGGACAAGTAGAGTCATTAAGACTCTTCCGCTTGGCCTTATTTCAAGGTCCTGTGTCACTGAAAACAAAGGGTCAAAAACTGCAGTCTGGGAAAGTAACTGATGACATTGACGCTGATTTATACTAACCCATAGCCTTATTCTACTAACCCATTGCATTAGCATTTCATTTTACTTTATTTTATTACTTGTGCACTGCTGTCTTGTTGTCTATTGTTACACTGTCTACTGTCACGCACCAATCGCCAAGACAAATTCCTTGTATGTTTGACATATTTTGGCAATAAATGTTTCCTGATTCCTGATGATGATGATGATAATAGAAAGCTTCCGTTTTGTCAGCAATTAGCTTCAGATATCTTTCTGAGTGATGTTGAAGGCCAAGGAGCTCCGTCGAAGTGCGACTTCCTGTTTCAGACTGAAGCTCTCTCTTCTGTTCTTTTCTCCTCACTTGTCAGATTATTGTTACTGCGTAAAAACCAAGTACCAAAGAGCTCTCATCACACCATGTTATTTACCCCCTAAGCCTTCTCCCCCTCCTCAGGTCTGCGGGCGTTGGTGAGCATCCTGCAGAGCTGGTACACCCTCTTCACGCCGACCGAGGCTACCAGCATCGTGGCGGCCACCGTCATGTCCCACAACACCATCCTGCGCCTAAGCCTGGACTACCCGCAGCGCGAGGAGCTGGCCAGCTGTGCCAGGACGCTGGCCCTGCAGTGCGCCATGAAGGACCCCCAGAACTGCGCCCTGTCGGCCCTGACGCTCTGCGAGAAGGACCACATCGCCTTCGAGACGGCCTACCAGATCGTGATCGACGCGGCGTCCACGGGCATGACTTACTCGCAGCTGTTCACCATCGCCAGGTACATGGAGCACCGAGGGTACCCGCTGCGCTCCTTCAAGCTGGCCTCCCTCGCCATGACCCACCTCAACCTGGCCTACAACCAGGACACGCATTCCGCCATCAACGACGTGCTGTGGGCCTGCGCGCTCAGCCACTCCCTGGGTAAGAACGAGCTCGCCGCCATCATCCCCCTGGTGGTGAAGAGCGTGCACTGCGCCACAGTGCTCTCCGACATCTTGCGGCGGTGCACCATGACGGCGCCGGGTCTCGCCGGCATTCCCGGGAGAAGGAACTCTGGGAAGCTGATGTCAACAGACAAAGCGCCGCTGCGGCAGCTGCTAGACGCCACGATCTCGGCGTACATCAACACCACGCACTCTCGACTGACGCACATCAGCCCGCGGCACTACGGGGAGTTTATAGAGTTCCTGAGTAAAGCGCGGGAGACTTTCCTGCTGGCACAGGACGGCCATATTCAGTTCGCTCAGTTCATAGACAACCTGAAACAGATCTACAAGGGCAAGAAGAAACTGATGATGTTGGTCAGGGAGCGCTTTGGCTGACCACGCCCCTCCCTCACAGGGACGCTCTTCTCGGGAAGTAGTTTGACCTTTTTTGTTTCTATTTAAAGTCATTTTGGATTCCTTTGTATTTTTACTTATTCTGTTGAGCCATTTGTTGACTAAGTCTTAAGTTTTTGTCCTGTTTTGTTGTTTTGTTTCTTGAATGTGAACCAAGTGTTGCTGTTTCATTGAGACCATCTATTATGAAAAAGTCAAAAGATTGTCATCGGGAAAAATACAAAAGGAACCTTTTTTGGGTGGTTTGGCACATGAGGATTCAAAACCAAAATATAGGGTACTTATTTTGAGCTGGAAGAAGCTTTCAGCTCGATTAGAAAAGACCAAGAGAAAGTGGCTTCCAAAATGGAAGGAACGTGTCATTCCAAAAGAGCGCTCAGATATCGTTGCATAACGTCATACCTCCACTGTATTATTTGTCAGCTTTAACTTCTCTCTTACGTGTCATTCAGGGCGTCTTAGAGTAGAGAGGGCGGAACAAGGAACTCCACGTGTCGTACTAACAGGTTCTTAAACTCCACCAACCTCCTCCCCTGGTTTCCTAAAGGCAGGAAGAACCATGTTGCTTCACAGAGTGCATCAAATCCATATGATCCAACAGTGACGGTATACAGCTGTGATAAATGATCTCATGGTCTCAGTGGTCCATCTTTAGAGCTACAACTGCAGTGTTTTACAGCTATTTGTGGCCAAAACCTTTGAAATCCAGACGACCCTCCTGTCATTCGCTGGTTTGGGATTTATTCCATAAGCAATAACACTGTCTGTGCTTCATTTTTATCAGTCAGCGACTTTAATTTCATGTCTTTTTGTGTTATGTTAGGAAGCTCTGAAAGAAGTCGGGACCTGATTGATTGATTGATTGATTGATTCAGAGTGCGACAGCTTTTAACTTTGCTTGTAGCTAAAGTCCCTTTTCCATCTCAAGACCGTTCTACGGAACTTTTCTATGAAGCCCCCGAACATAAGAGCAGCAATCTGGTTCCAATGTTGGTTCTATTGGTCGTGGTTCCTACCCCTGACACCCTGGCAGTGCTTTTGACTATCGGGGGGACCTATGCAGCACTTGTGATTAATCAAATAAGCACTATTTAAAAATGTCACCTCCAGAATGGTTGAATAGTACTGTAGCAGCAAGAGATGAGACGTTTCAAACCGCTAAAAAGATATGAGACTGGTGACGAGGAAAAGGCCTCTCCTTGTATATTTAGAATCAAAAAGCCTACCAAAATATATATTTTTTGAATTTATAGTAGGACTAGGCTTTTCCCACTTATACATCTGCACTAAATGATATTGTTAATAGATCAACTGATCATGTGTGATGTGAATTGCTTGTTTTTAGTCACAAACCAAACAACTCTGCTGCACGACCAAGCCGTTTAGCTTCACCTGGCTAATCGTTTTGATTTTTCCGGCCTTTAGATTGACCGTTTGGTGAAGACTTGCTGTCCCGATCCTCTTCTTTTTCCGTTGCAGAAGGTGGTCAGCAAAGCGTTGACACGTTGCTCCGTCACTGCCTCATGTGTCATGTCTTATGTTAGCATCTGTCGCTAGTGTGTTAGCCAGAGCAACTTTGTAAAGGGATAATTCTTCATTGTTGTGTTGGCCTGGCTGGACCCACAAGTGTTAACGTTTGGTATTGTTTGGATAAACTACAACAAAAATAAATCTAAAAGATTTAAAACCACAGTCATTGCAGTAATCCGACCACACCGATTCACACGCTCAACTAAGTCGATCCTGATTTTTGATGTTCCTCCATTTCCGTGGTGCTCGTGATGGGAAAGAGTCTCCAGTTACTGAAAGCTACTGGTGGTGAAGGTTCTCAAAGGGTTAAAGATTCTGTATGCTTAATGGTGACTTATTCGTACATGTATGAAACCACATACCTGGGCACGGGGAGTCCTTTTCGTTTGTGTACGGAGGACGTCCATGCTCCTCTTAAGTATTGTCGGCAGCACACAGAACAGCAAGAGCTTACCGTCATCGTGCAAGCACTTCACACAAATACCTCTTCAGTGCGTTCCTGCCTGCTTCAGCTTTATTTATTAATTGTGTTTGTAAATCTGTGTCTGAGTAGGAATCGCGCGCACACACACACACACACACACACACACACACACACAACCGAGTCGGTCAGAAGAGGGAGGAACACCTTGTCGTCTGCTTTTACATTCCATGAGAGTTCCCTTCGCCCCCTCCACAGGTAGTCGCAGTTGCTTCTCCGATCTGAGGACACGCAGGTAGACGAGTGGACGAACAGGAAAGAGGAAAACTGAGCAGAGCAAAGAGGCTAAGCTCAGTTCTCAGGGACATCACTTAAAGAAATAAAACAAAAGGTAGTAGCATTAAGCATTTAAGATATTGTAAATATGAAAGTGTCAATTCAGAAAATTGTAAAGTTATAATTATTTATGATAAGTATGTTATGCGTTTGTTATTACTTTTTATTTTTATGTTCTTTTGGCGGGTGTACTTGAACAGTTTTGGATGGGGATTTGACAGCGTTTTCTTTTTTTTCCCCTTTTTTATAAAGAGCAAAAACTTCAAGGCACTTCTCAGGTGCTCCTGTGTGCATTTCTTTTAAGTTTGTTTTTTTGCTATAACGGCCACAATTATTTGTATTTTATATTGCTTTGCAAAGACAAAAAATGTGTTTTCCAAAAGGAAGCATGTTTGTAGTGAATGAAAAGGACGAAAGGCATCCATTTATAAACCGATCCGTACTTAACCCGACTATGCAGAACCACTTTGATGGTCTTGTCACCTCCAGGACTTAAGTGTGGAAGAAGAGACTCGGTGGACTGAACCACTACTGAACGGGGGGGGGGGGGGGGCGCTTGTATTCGGACAATGCGCAGTATCCGGCCTGCATACCCTGCAACATTTAAAGGAAACCGGACAAAAAATGAATACGGGGAGAAATGCCTTTGTGACCGATCAATGTACAACGTTTATTTTTGTGCTTGACTTGTTTGTCGTCGTTCTTTATTTTGTTTCTGTTTAAGCAGGACTCAAAGCCTTTAGTGTCTTCTCGGTGGTGTGACGTGGCGGCCGCACCGGCGAGACACGACAATACACAACGATACACAAATGTGCGCGAGTCAGAAGCGGTGCGCGTGCGGGAGGCTGCGGCCTGCGGATGACCTCGTGTTCGTCCCTCGTTGCTTCCTCATCTTCGTTCTGTTATCTCTCCCTCAGCTTCCTGCAGGGAGAGTTCCTCTCTGTCGTCACCACACCTTTTCTGTAAACTGTTGCCCCCCCGTCTCGCGCAGGGAGGGGCAATGCATCGGCGCGTTAGTAACCGCCTTAAAGCATATGGGCCACTTTGCGTCTGACTACGAACACGTGTTCATCTGGTAAGGCTTCTCTGTAAGTTAAAATAAGGGTGGGTTCATTTATTTGCCAATACATCAGGCCGTTTTTCCTGAATCTTGGGTGAAATTCAGATAACACGTTCCCACTTAATTAGCCAGCGGCCTTAGTGTGAGACATTCACTGACCGCGGGACAACAAAGCGTCTCCTCCCTCTGTGTTCACTGCCTCGGCCCGTTCTCACTGGCGCCCTCTCCCTCCTTCCTACTAGTCGCCGTTTCCCATTTTGTTGTTCTTTTGATTCTTTCTAACTTAAGGGGGAAAGTGTTGTTGCCTCTTTGTGCTACTGATTATGAAAACGGTATTCCCAGTATGTGTTGCCACAGAAGTATGATAGCTTATCATCAACACTTGTTATTTTCTGTTGGTTTATTTTACATCTTCTTGAGCTACTGTCTATAAAGCGAGAATTTATTACTATTTATGTAACGCTACTACCATTTTATATTGATTTGTGTTGGAATCTCGGTGCTTTTCTATGAATAAAGTGTGAAACACGTTACGAGGACCTCTTTTTAATTGATACTTCCCGTGCGAGGTTCGGGGCACCCAAGCAGTTATGGGAAGTTTCACACGTTTTAATTTTATTTAATAGTGTGTTCATTTTACTGGAGAATTTAAAATGTATGCACAAGATTTTTGAGAGTATTTACATTTTTCATTCTACAACGTGCATTCAACAAATATTTAAATTGAACACATTATCAGTTTGCTTCCTGTTCTGCCTCACCAAAAACCATGTGACAGAAGTGACTGTTCCTCACTTCCTGTTGCTTCATTTTAGTTGCCTCATATATGGATTTCAAAAGTTTTCACTGTAATTTAAGACTTAAATGAGTGACCGTACCTTTTTTCAAGAGAAGTCGGCATCGTAAAATTCAATTGGTTGGAGTTTGTCACTTGACCTCCAGGGAAATTTATAATTTTATTCAATCCATGTCCAAAAAGCAGCAAGTTTTAAAAGTGGAACTTCCTTGAGTGTAAATGGTTTATTTATTTGATGCAGTAAAAATATCTCTGAGTAACAGAATGCTATTTAAATTGAGTATAAATTGCATTTAATCTCTTTCGATTTAAGATTGTTTCAAACTTTGGTGCAATATAATTCAATGTTAAAGCTTATGTGATAATTTTCATCAGAGAAGAATTCATCTATGTCCTCCCACCCGTGATAAATGAAGCGCACGCAGCATGCCGTAGTTCCATCAATCTCTCGCTCGTTTGTCTCTAATCAGAATATTTTCTTCCATCCCTCCTTCGCCGCATTCATTCTCATTCATTAGAGATTTCTGCAGAGAGACTCGAGCAGACAATCAGGCCATCAAGAAGTGCTAAGTGTGCTCCCGGAGTTGTGTGTGTGTGTCTGTGCATGCGTGTGTATGTAAATCAAGATGGATTGGCTGGTGGTAAATGAGCAGATTTATATTAATTAAGCAGACAGATGAAGTGATCGCTATATGCTCCATCTCCTTCTTCTCAGTTTTCACCATGTCCCCAATCCCCCCCCCTTCTCTCTTAATCCAGCTGTCTACATAGGGCATGTTTTACTAAAATGTACGAGTGTATTTTTACACTCCATACCCATTATTTTGTTGTTCTTCTCAATGTTACAACGTGGGTTCTACAGTCCCTGAACGCATCGTGCGTAGGGGCTGTGTCAGAACTTCCTGTCGACAATCAGATGATGGATGGACTCGCCATCAAGTCTTAGAAGTTTGCTATCAGCAAGGACACCCAGTTGCTGCACATTTAAGTGTTGTTTAGGCCCTGGAGGCGGGGGGGGGGGTGCCGGCAGGCCGGCAAACACCAAAACGCCTAAATAAGCAAACAAACAGGAAATCAGCGATATCGCATCCCAAATTGCACTGATCCCTTAGAACCAATCAGTGTGCAAGGTTTGGAGGTGATGCAATGAGCGTCTCATCCCAGGACGGGCATCCGGGTGCCAGCCTGGTCCCAAAGGGAGCGGCTGACCACGGCGGGATAGGAGGCTATCGCCTGCAAACAGAGACCGGCACAGCTGTTTGCATCTGCCTCCCTCCAGGATGGTAATAACGCCTATCAGTCTCTGTCACAGCGGATGTGCGTGTTTATTCATGCGTGTGGTCATTGAAAGATAAAGTGTTTGTGTGTGTGTGAGTGAGTCAGTTTTGGGGGGCGGTCACTGATAAAGCGCTGATAGTGTCCGTCCATGACAGATGATGTACAGCCTGCTGTCTCTGCAGGCAGATTGGATTTTCAGGGCTGCTGCTTTGCTGTGAGATGGACCTCCTTCAAACACACACACACACACACACACACACATCCACCTGTTCAATGTCTTTACACAAAATAAGCACATAAAAGCCCGGACGCACGCACAAACACACATACAAACACACAATGAAACGAGTCAAGCAGGTACACACACGTACACGGGCACACAAACACACACTTACATATAACCCTTCTGCCAAAGCCTTAAAAAGCCTTGTGGAAATTGATAATTTCTAAAGACCATGGACTCATTGTTGCAACCTCTTTCTCTCCCTCTCCGTCACACAAACACAGACACACGCACAAAGCCTGTCACGCTGTTCACAGATGGCCGACTGACACACAACCCCAGCCTCCTCAGTCCTACCTGTCGACAATCAGCGCTGATTTTTGTTCATTTGTCCTTCGTATTTACGCAATAGGGGGCCACAACAAAAGCCTGTGTGTGTGTGTGTGTGTGTGGGGAGGGGGTTGTGTGTGTGCCTGTGTTTATGGTACTATAGCACCACAAAGGACAAAGATAAATGAATGGCGCCTTTTATTTGAGGGAGAAGTGCCTTTTCCAGCAGCCACATGTTAATTCAGCTGCTTTGTGTATTTCCGTATTTATTAATCACTCTGAGGCCCACGAGCTTCTCTTTAGTCTCACTTACTCAGAGGTTTGAATTCAACCCTCCGCCAGTGTGCTCAGAGGGCAAAGCGATAACGGATCTGCAAAAATCTCCAGCTCTTATTGTCAATAAACCTTCAGGTTTTTCATAAAAAGGTGCTAAATCTACAATAAACATTAAATGGATTATTAACCAAAGAACACTCGGGTGCCAAATTCCATTAATCCGCAGCTGAAAAGAGTCCCTAACCTGAGCACCACATCGCCCAGCTGCTTCAGCTCCTCATTGAGCCTATTTAACAACACTGTGTGCGGTTGTGACCTGCTTCTAAACATTTACGTCTTTGGCAGGAGAACAATCGCAGCGTGATTGGTTGGTCATCGTGGCGCAGGGGGCAGAGAGGGTGCGCTGGGAACCACAAGGTTGGTGGTTCGGGTCCTGGCTGCCCCATGTCGAAGTGTCCCTGAGCAAGACACCTAACCCCTAATTGCTCTCCGGGCTAAAATGTAAAAATAAAGCCATGGGTTAAAAATGCAATGGTCCACTAAATGACCTGTAATGTAATTTAAGTATAAAGTAGAGCATAGAAACGTAGCTTTATCTTTCAATGAAGAGCTTCCCTTTGGCTTCCAAAAAGGGTGTTACAAGAATGATATTATGTTGCTCAGTTATCAGGGACAAAATATTTATTTTGTACTTTCTGACATGGAATATACTTAATAGATCTCTGACTTATCCCTGAAAACACGACTTTTCCTTTCATTTGACATTAACATTTTTAATGTTATGGCTGTTTAGATGTTCAAATTCTTGTTTGTGAAATGTAAATTACATCATATTTCAAGACTCTTGTGCAGTTTTTGAGTGACAATGAATGAAATGCAGTTTGCAATCAAAAGGAAAAGGGAAATAGCCAAAATTAATTAACTAAAATAGTCTAAAATGCATTCCACACCGTTCAACCGCAGTGACAACAACACGGGTACCCAATCCAGTCGCGTGATGTTATGATTTTTTTCTGGAATCCTTCACAACAACATCGACAACCAAAACAACCGGCTTTACTGGAATCTGCTTATGCGACGCTGTGAGCTGCCTCGCGAGGAAAAACACAATCTGAGATTAACTCATCCGCGGCTCCTCATGTAAGGAGCTTCCACCGTGATTACAGTAATAATGCACATCAAGCCAAATTCTGTGTGAGGTTTTGTATTTCCCCCAAGTTGATCAAATTGTTAAATTTCCCGTGGAGACAAAGGAACTGTACTCGAGGTATGTGATTGGACGCCGCTGCCTCCCACGCAGCGCTTCATTGGCTGTGGCGATGGCAGCGCTGTGGCGCCATGTTCCGATTGGTGAAGATGAAGACTGGCTTTGTCCTCAAATCACCTCACAAGTGTTTCCAACAGTTTCGAGTAACGGCAGCAGCACCCGTACGGTCCCAATTGATGACTTCCAGTCTTCAAGGTGCTTCTGAGGAAAAAAAGGTCCTGTTTTGGGAATTGTAAATGTACGGCTTTGAGAAGATGGAAGGCCGAAAACAGAGAACACATCTCGTTAAACTGGGCGGGACGTGATCTAGACACAACACAGCTCATCGGCTTAGGATGAGCTCCAGTGACTCGCTGTGAATATAAAGTGCTCCTAGAACACATTTCACAGATGGATACAGATATCCCATCCACCACATTCACATGAGCCTAAAGTAACAATGGTGATCAGAGTCTGTCACATTTAAAAAAAATATACAGTAGGTTTAGAGAAATTACAGCCAAGGCGTCTTCATTTAGTGCCAACTAACAAGTACAATTGTTTTTGCAGTCATGTAACATCGGCAGACTGACACAAAAAGGATGCAAAATGTTTCTATTTTGTCTTCATGGTCCAAACCTGCCGCCTACGTTACCCACAATGCACTTGTGTTTATTCTAGTAAGGCCTCACGTAGCCTCCTCGACCCACCACTCTCACACGTCCCTCCTCTGATTGGTTGGATGCATCCAGAGGCCTTTTTTGCATTTGAGACGTGGTATGATGGTGAATTCAGCCTCTGAGAAGCTGGCGCTCACACACACACACACACACACACACACACACACACACACACACACACACGGTTTTTACTGTGTGGCAGCAAACAAGGTGATGATCTATAAGTGTGTGAAGGTCACACAGGAAAGGGAGGAAGTTCTCAAAAATGCTGCAAGATTATTCAGATAAGACGGTCTTCATTCATTGATCCATTATATTAAGTACTGATTTCTAAGATGTGATTTCTAATATCGGCCTAACCCTTTAATCTCAAGTGTTCCTGTCAGTCTCCTTTGTTTTAGAGCCCGGCGGTGACAGCAGAGGCGCTGATGTGTTCATTACAATACACTGTGTAGCTTTACAAACTAGGGTATAGTGCACCTGAATGCACATTGTCTACATTATGTAGAATGAAAAAGGAAACCTCTATGTTTCATCTGTGGTTTATGTAATGTAAGGTTGGATGTTGATATTTGTGTGTTTGAATAGTCATCACAATCATAAGGCTGATAGGACATTGGGTTGATTCCCTTGAAGTGTCGACTGGATGAGTAATTAAAACCTGCCGTCGTAGTGTACATATGCCATGAAAGCACTGTAATTGCATTTCTACAACATGGCTGCTGCTTATAGACTCAACGTAACCGGCTTTTGCTTCATCGTTGTCGCACCATGTGCGCTGTAGCATGGAACACTGTTTTTATTTTAAAGTACACAGCAGAGCCTCTTCTGTCACAGTCAGGCTCTAAAACAAAGGAGACTGACAGATGCCCTTAAGATTAAAGATCTTTAACCCAAAAGTAAATTTAAGACAAAAAATGTCCATAGAGTAGGGAGTGAGGAAACGTGCTTCCTGGGTGTTGTACTGTGAAAATAAAATAAAGTTAAAGCCAAAACTAAGGTGAGAGGAGATACGCAGTGTGAGAGTCTGTAAGGGCTTGAAATGCTGGAGATAGCGGCCGGACGGCACTTTGCTTCATCTCATCACCGTGACAACGTACAAAAACAATTGATGTGAAATTGAGGGTATTTATTTCACACTTTTGGCTCCCGGATATGAACCCCAGGTTCTTTCTTCAAGTCCACAAAACACACATGGATGTGATGAGCAAACTCCCATGATCCCCGTCGCCTGGAGGCCAAAGCTCTGGTCCCCCACTCAAAGCCAATTTGATATGAAAATTGATACAACTTGATTTGAAAAACTTATTTCAATCAGACAATAAAAACAGCAAGATAAACACGTGTGGCTTTTAATAAGCTGGAAACCTACGACAGAATGCTCAGGAAGCTTCCCATGTGACTCATTGGTGAAGGTAAAAACAAAGACAGTCTGACATCCTGTACAACGTGCACTTCATGAAAGATTTTAATTCTGTGATGTGAGGGGGAATTAAACATCTTAATGCTGAGTTCCAGTTGCTGATTTAGTGGTTAAGATGTTGGATCATCAACCGCTACGTGCTGATAATTTCCATGACTTTCAAACTATCATTTGATAACTGCAGTGACGCCTCTCATCCTGGATCTGGTTCAGCAGCTTCGGTTTCTCACTTTGTGGACAAAGGCGCTAATCTCACTAATGAAGAGGTCCGTTTGGATTGAAGTTCACCACCATTAAGACCCAACAGGTGTGATGTTTATTGGTACGCGCCAGAGGGACATGATGGGTATTTTTATTCACAAAATGAATAGTTTCTATGACAAAAAAAGCTTTAACTCAAAACGTCAAAGCTGTTTTTAAACATTTTGAATAGATCCGATATTAAAACAAATCCCACAATTTAAATGTGTTTGTTATGTGAATGTACTTGCAGAACCGAAACACATAATCTAATCCCGGCCAGATCAACGTATTGTAAGATGAAGAGAAAATCCTGTTTATCCTCAAAAATATACACTGGGGAATGTGGTAACTTTTTTCTTTTGGCGAAAAACAAAATAAGAACAGTGAAAAATGATTTAAAAACCAAATCTCTGAGAATGGCTTATCCAACTTCTCAAAACCGATGTAATGCTGAATGTTTTTAATAAAATGGTTCATTACACTACATTTGTTTGATGATGCGCTTAGAGTGCTGGTGCACGGCTTGGACGAAGGCGCCCACGTTCTCCGGGTCCATGTCGGGGTACAGGCCGTGGCCCAGGTTGGCGATGTAGCCCCTCGGGCCGAAGCCCTCCACCATCTTCTTCACAATCTCTGAAATGCGCTCCTGATGACGAAGAAGAGCGTTTCCATTAGTCTGAGCTCCACTAGAATCCTTGTCTAAGGCGACGTGCTGCACTCAAACTGAAACTCAAACAATCTAAGGAACCTCTGAGTGAGGAGTTATCGAAGGCCATAGAAATAAGATTCTTAGCATGCCAACAACAGCGCGTTGGGCTCTGTTGTTTCTTTTCTTTTCATTTCATTTCATGAAAATCATTGCAAAATGTTGATCTCACTCTGCTGAGAAAAGGTCTTATCGGAGAACAAACTGAAACCTACAAAGACCCGGTCCAGGCTCAGGGTCCAACATTACACCTGTGCAATTAAACGGAATCCCAATAGTCGAGGACATTAAAAGAAGAAATTGCTATTCTGATTTAGTCTCCAAATAAACAGAATACATTGTTCCTGTAGAAGCTCAATAGCATGGCTATTGGCGTCAAACAAGCAGAGCAGAGCTTTGTATTGCAATATCAGTGGCATGCAGAATCTATTTCACATTTAGATTTTATTATAATATATATATATACATATATTTATGTAGCTTTATTTCAAAGTATCAAACTGTCTAAGCTTGTTTGCTTTCTCCTCATTCCTCTTCTCTTCAAAATGCAGTTAATAGAGGCGCTTTTGAACCCACGGGGAAAGTCCCCGTACATGAGAGCGCCTGGAACAAAGTTTACCTTTGGAGCGTAGAGAGCACAAGGGTCCATGTTTCCCTGCAGGCTGACCTTCCCTCCTGTGCGCTCCCTAAATACACACACACACACAATCAGCACAGGGCCCACAGAGTAATCCTTTAACCAACAGGTTAAGTATGTGTTGTGCAGAGCAGGAAGCACAGACGTATGTTAGCTTAAGTCCTGCCCCCAGGGACCAATCAGGGACGAGAGGTGAGGTCACCAATGGTTAACTTCCTCTTCATGATTAGGGCAGTTCTATTTTGCTGCAGTCGGACCACGACGGAGGAATCTGAAGCTGTAGCTGTATCTGCCTTTGACCGGGGAGATCTGCGTATTGATCCTTTCCTTCCTGCTCACATTCCAGAGTTTCCCCATCAAACACTTTGACTCTTATGTCGATGGGCTGATGGGATGTGGCAGATTTAACAGACCTCGATGCAGAAAGGATATTCTAACACTGTAGTTAGCAGGTGAAGTTTGAATCTAGATTTCCATGTGATTCGATTTAGTGTTTTTTGTCCCATGCTGTTTCAGAACCACAACTTTTAACACAGTTATTAGAGAAGAGACTTGTGTTACCGTGCTGATTGAGGATCGATGGTCCAGTCCAGCCCGACCACCTCATAACGAGACTGAGACAGATCCTCCAGACTATAGTGAGCATCCTTTGCAAACACAATCTGGATGAGTGAAAAAGAGAGATTTTTATGAACTCTGATAAACCATTTCTGGTGAAATGCCGCCCTCGTCTGGTGATAAAGCAGATCAGCGTATATTTCAAAACAGACCACATAAATCCTTAATGATCCCTCCTGGGTAACAGTGATGTGGAAGCAACAGCGATGACAAGAATAGAACAGAGACCTGAAGCTAATATAGAACGTGATAATAACGAGAGCAGAACAAATGATGAGTCACAACAGAGACAAGTCGTTTGCATGATGAGCATCATGAGCCACCGACGTTCGAATCGATCGAAGAATAACACATGTTTAAGAGCATGGAATGTGTTTGTTGTGGATTCAAGCCCATTTATGTTTATGTGTGCTGCTGTCTCTCACCATGGGAACGTCCTTTCCTGCCTCCTTGAGTTTATCTTTGACGCAGCGAGCGATGTCCCGGAGGTAAGGAAGAGAGAACTCTTGGAACTCCGAGGGCCCCAGAATGCCGGCGTGAGACTCAAACACCTGCAGGGCCTGCACACGCACACGCACACACACACACACACACACACACACACACACACACACACACACACACACACAGTTTTTATTCTGAGCAAGGGAGCAACATTAGTATTCACTGAGAGCTGCATCCATCAGATAAATCGAAGACCAGCACCGACTCCACTTCCATCTCAGTGTGGATCTCCACCTACTGAGGGACACATATTTCTCTTTAGCCACAAAATGCTACACTTTCATAGGCACGTTGCTAAATTTTGTCCGTCAGCATGTGGTGTAGAGGGAGTTTGTTAGAGGTTCTTGGCCGAAAGAAAGCTGCATTTCTATACAGCAATGAAACAAGCGGAGGGACTGAGCTGCAGCAACAAGAAAAGAATGACTTAAAGTCATGGCTGAACACCAATTCTGATTCTTCATGTTATTTGATCCATTGTTCATACAAAAATATTGACAGCAGCTTTGGCCGAACCTGAATGCGGCGCACTCTGCTGCTCTGACATCAGCTACGCTTCGTGGAAGAATCCAGGTTTGTGCTCTCCGGCTGTGCTACTCACTTGTGCTGATACTGAGAAGCAGTTTGTTTCTATAAGCCGTGCTTGTCTGAGGCGCCACAATCAGCAAATAGTAATGGCAAAACTCACGCAAAGTGCTTGATATTAAATGTTATTGTTACTGTCAACAATTAGCTCCAAAAATATGTATGAAAACAGAGGATCTTTCTTTAAAACTTCAAAAACGGCTTGAATTTCCATCCGAGTTACCGTCTTAATGTTGTATGTGCATATATAGTATTTTTCCAAAGTCTTAAGCATCTGTGCCGATACTGAGAGACGGATTTGTTGGTTGTAACCTGAGCTCCAGCTGCCACTTGTCCCAGCAGATACTCCACTATCACATCGGTCAGCATCCTCAGCAGCATGTGGCTGGCCTCAGGATGTCTGTACAGCCAACTCTTCGCTTTAGAAAAAGTCCTGGAGCCTCCGCCTTCTATCATGTAGGACATCAGCGTCCACTGAAGGGAGAAACATCAGAGAGCAAGAATCACAACACGTCAGTGTTTCTCATACAACAACTCAATTGTGTCGGGGGCGTCTCTGACCGGAGCTCCAGTGAATCCTATGAGCGGCACTTTGCCCTCTATCTTGTGTCTGGTCAGCGTGATGGCTTTGAAGACGTAGCCCAGCTCTTTGGCCACGTCCACTTTGACCTGCAGGCGCTGCAGGTCCTCAGGCTCCTTCAGGGGGTCTGGGAACGTTGGGCCTTTACCTGCCACCATCTGGACATCCATACCCATCGCCTGGAGGGAGGAGAGGTGAAGGAAAGAAGGAATAAAGATAAACAGGCTTCTATTTGATATAGATAGACAGACAAAGCGAGTGTCTTTCTTGTATTAGCGGTGGTAATATGGTGGTAAACCTGGGAAAAGTTGCTCAGTCACTCTGTCTTTAATTACCAGGCGGGCTGACAGCTTGTAAGCACACAACACATTAATGAAGAATCTGTTTAAGATGCAGTAATATGTTTCGGCCACTAGAGGGGCAGAGAAACATCAGAACAATCTGACAGACAACCAACACATTACACTGGCCTTCAAGTAGCTATCGCTAACATGTTAGCAAACCGATAAGCGTGGCAGCAACACTCCCACATGCGACTGATTTTCCACCTGGTGACAGTTAGTAACTTTGTGGTCCGCGGGAATAAAAGCTGGAGCCGGTCTTTACCTGTGGGATCACCAGGATGTCAGAGAAGATGATGGCAGCATCGAAGGGGAAGCGTCTCAGAGGCTGAAAAGTTCAAAGAAGGACAACATTTAAAAAAGAAAACGAAATGGGAAAACATAAAATGTTTATTGCCTTCTAGTGGTAAACTTAAATGTCAAATTGAAGATTCAATTTAAAGTGTCATAAGTGATTCTTTGGCACATTGTAGTGTCTTCTTCTAAGCTGCTATCTAATGTACAAATGTACAAATGTATTGAGGCAAATAGCTTCGGATCCACATAACTGACCAATATGTGACTATGTGAAACTGTAACTTTTAGATTTAAAAAAGTGCATGTTCAAGTCCTGGGGTTTAATACCATTGGTATTCTGATAAAAAACAATTGTTATTATTTGTATTATATATAGTTTTTAAAAAATATTTTATTTTTTAATTCCAGTAATTAAATTAATCACGTAATTTTTTTAATGCGTATTTGCATTCAGGAGATCTAAAATCTCATTGTGCTTGCACTTCTGTCCTGGAGGTTAATATTTTCAAACTGTACAAACTATAAAGTATATAACTATAAAAAACATTGTCCTGACCTGTAGAGTGAGCTCGCAGCAGGCCTCTGGTGAACGACATGTCTCAAAGAAGTCCTTCCCCGCTCTGGACTCACGAAACTCTGCAAATTAGATCAAACACCGACTCACTCGATGGAAAAGGACGAAGATGCAGATCGGAAGGCTTTCAATCACGGAAAGAAAGTTGTATCTCAGTGCCGAGAAGATGGGAGAACTGATCTCAGTACCTGGTAGGTATCTTCCAGCCTGCCTCATACACCAAACAGGGACATGTTCAGTTTCTTCTCCTCGTGCTGCTCGCAGGAATGTGTCGTTCTGGAGTTTGGGGAAGTCCTCTGGGCTGGTTGGCAAAAAATATCATCAGTCTTTTCTCTGACCTTAATGCCGCATCAAACATGAGTAGGAGAACCAACCTGCTACT